TCCTCCTCCTTCTCCTCCTCTTCCTTCTCCTCCTTCGCCTCCTTCTCCTCCTCTTCATTACCCCCTGCATTCCTCGTACGTGGGCTCCGCTGGAGGGCTGAATCCCCGGGGGGGGGGGGTGAAGGGAGGCCAAGAGGGAAAGATAGGGAGGGAAGGTGCAGGGAGGGGAGGGGAGAAGCGGGAAGTGAGGAGCGGGGTGGGGGAAGGGGAACGGCAGAGAGAAGAGGGCGGGACACGGGAAACGACAGTGGGGAGTGGGGAGGGGGGGAGGGGGGCGAAGGGGCGGGGAGCGGAGGGGAGGAGAGAAGCGGGAGGCAAGCCGAGTGCGCTCGCGCCAAATCTGACATCCTACTCCTCCAGCCCATCCCTTCCCATTGCGCTCACTTTTCTATATCTGCCGGCGGGTGCCACAGCGGATAGGGAGCCTCCAAAACGACCCCACCATGCTATGCGAAAGCAGGAGTGGGCATTTGACTGGGAGCTGTGCATATTTGAAGATGAGGTTGAGAAAGAGGCCGCGGATGATCAGGAGGATGAGCAGGAGGAAAAGAAGGGTTATGAAGGAGGATGAGGAGGAGGATGAGGAGGATGAGCAGCAGCAGGAGCAGTAGGAAGAGCGGAAGGAGCAGGAGGACCAGGGGAAGGCGGAGGAGGGGAAAGGAGGTGGCGATAACGACGACGAAGGAACCAGATCCAGATATGTGGCCTGCGCTGAAGCGAACCATTTTGAACGACGGGAGCAAAACGCCGATCCTGAAACGAGGCCACTGCTGCAGCGGAAGCACCGCTTTTGAAGAATACGAAGGCGGCCCGATCGACAGAAACATTAGAACATCCAATCCTTGCACTGAAACTACGGGGGCTAAGGGGCCCCGCTCGCACTGCACCCGAAGAGGGAGGAGGGCAGTATCCATATGAAGTAATTGTGTAGGGGGTATGCGGGCAGGCACTGGCTGAGCGACGGACCTGATGGAAGACTGGAGTTGTTCCTCGCGGGCCCCAGGGTCACAACGTAAAAACATGCCTCCTTAGGCCGAACCTGCTGCACGAGCGGCCTCCTCGCGCTGGCGGATCCTCTCCGCCAGGGCCGACATCCCAGGTGTCGAAATCAGCCCTGAGCGAGAGGGGACTGCGGGGAGCCATCACTCACTGCAGCTGTGCCTTCGGATCTGTAGTGAGGGCGAAAGCCTTATCGAATTCGCTTGAGCGCACCCCGCCCACAAGGGCCAGGATTGCCATCGCAACTGCCTCCAAGATGGTATCGCCTCTGACTCGTGTAGGCGCCACACAGGAACCAAAGCAGCCGCAGAGCGCTTTCATCGCCCTGCACGAAAGCCGAGCAGAGGTGGTGACCGCGCTCGCTCTCTGCACTGTGGACTCGTCGGAGGGCCGCGGGTAGGCCTTTGCAGTCCGTCAACGAACGCCCCCCCCCCCGAACACCCCAGTCGCGCCACTGGATGGCACGCAGGGCTCTGGCGTTCATACCGAGGGCCCAGGCTCTGGCCTCCCGACGAAACTCGGGTTTCGGAAAAAAAGGAACGAACTTCGCCGGACATGGCCAGCGTCAGGCTTGCGAGATGGGGGAGGACCGCCACGTTGTCCGCCACCACCGCCACCACTGGCGCCGCCCTTTGTGAGAATCTGGATATGCTTGGCGAGGCTGGCGACCTGCTGCTCAAGTTTGGTCGAATTGCCAACGCCGAGACCCGCTAGCGGTCCGCGTGCCCACATCCCGCGAAGACCACTGCCACCACGAGGTAGGTTGCCCGCTGCCTTGGCCGCTGCCACCCTCGCTCGCTGGATGATGGCCTGCGGCGCCGACTTGCCACAAGCGCAGCGTTTGCGGCACGCCCAGTTCTGGTTGCGCCAGCAATCGGGAGACCCACTTGGGCTAACGCGGCCGTGGGAGCACCGCCTCATCATCGCGGCCCAGGACGTGTGGCCACTGAGGTGGGCGATAGAAAGCCTGCCCCAGCAGGAGCTCGCAAAAGCGCCGAGTTTGAGACCCTCCAATCTAAGTTCCGAGCCAATTGCCCGCCACAGCGACTGCCGCTCTGAAGCCGGCTGTGGCAACCCCAAAACGCTTGGGGCAGAACGGCGATGGCAGACTTCAGAGGAAAAGAATCAGAGGAGGAGGAGGACGACCACGACGACGAGGAGGAGGCAGCCACAAACAAAAGGCTATGCGGGCCAATATGATCCGTCAAAGCCCACTTCTGGGCCGGCAGGAAAATCTCAAGCATTATGCGACAAACGAGCTCGACGGCAGGGGGAGCATAAAGCAAGCCAAAGAGGGAAGGAGGAGGGAGAAGGAGGAGGAAGAAGAGGAGGAAGGAGGTGCACCATCGAGCCTCCACTCTGAACAGAGGTACAAGATACACCCAGAAATCATGTTGTGAGGCAGATACGGCACATGTGCCGTCGCTCTTCGAACTTCCTGAGATGCCCAAGGGCTTCCGTGGGTCCCAAGGGCCATCGGGGGGATGAAGAAAATTACGAAGCGTGTTCGAAGGGTGCTCCGAGAGAACTTAAACAGTTGCACCGACGACCCTGTGGAGCAGTTTCGGGCTCTTTGAGGCCGTCTTGGGTTTGCCGGGCCGTTACAAACGTCCAGTGGCTACTGGGGCGCTGTCAGGCCCTCTTGGGAGCCTCTCTGAGCCCCTTGGGGCTTCCCTGAGGCTGTCTGCTCATCCTTCCTCTCCCCCCCCTCCTCCTCCTCCTCCTCCTCCTCCTCCTCCTCCTCCTCCTCCCCCTCCTTCTCCTGCCCCTCCTTCTCCTCCGCCTTATCATCATCATCATCATCATCATCATCATCATCATCATCATCATCATCATCATCATCATCATCATCATCATCATCATCATCATCATCATCATCATCATCATCATCACCATCATCATCACCATCATCATCACCATCAGCATCAGCATCAGCATCAGCATCATCATCATCAGCATCATCATCACAATCACCATCACCATCACCATCATCATCATCATCAGCAGCAGCAGCATCATAATAATCATCAGCATGACCATCATCATCACCATCATCATCAGCAGCAGCATCGTCATCATCATTATACTCACCAACATCATCATCATCATCAGCAGCATCATCATCAACATCATCAGCATCATCATCACTATCACCATCACCATCGTAATCACCATCAGCAGCAACAACAGCATCATCACCACCACCACCACCGCCATCACCATGATCAGTACCATCACGATCATAAGCATCATCAGCATCATCAGCAGCAGCATCGTCACCATCATAATCAACATCAACATCATCAGAATCGGCATCATCAGCATCATCATCAGCATCAGCATCAGCAGCACCATCATCATCACCATCATCATCATCATCACAATCAGCATCAGCATCTTCATCAACATGATCATCGTCAGAATCAGCATCAGCATCAGCATCATCATCATCATCCCTCTCTCCTCCTCCACTCTTTTGCAATATGAATAACTATTCCCTGTCGCACGCCGAGGCTGGTCGAAAGGACGGACCGGGCGTTTCGCCCGAGATCTCCTCGCCATGTATGATCCTTAAGCTGAAAATTTGCAACAGCTTCACGGATGGAGGGCGGGCGGTTTTCAAAATGTGGCTTACGCCTTAGCGCCGGCCATACCCATTTTTTGCAAAATTGCGAGTTTCACGGATGGAGGACGGGCCGTTCTCGAAGTGTGGCTCTCGCATCAGCGCCGCGCACACTCGCTTCAAACATGTGCAAGAGTTGGACGGCTGTGGGGCAATTTCTTTTCAAAACGTGGCTCTCGCCTCAGCGCCGCGCATATTCGTTTCAAGAGTTCTTAACAATTTCGCGGGATGATTCACATGCCAGAAACGATGTTTTTGCACGTTGTCGGACTGTCAGGCCGCAACAGTGACGTTGCTTCGCGGTGTTGAAGTCCCAGGAACCATCTGGCACGATTCAGGATCGTCGAGACGCAACAGTAACACAATGACGGTGATTCGCGGCGTTGAAGTCCCAGGAGCCCTGTGCTGGCACAGCTCAAGATTTTCAAACGGTTGTCTTCCAACGCACTTGAATCAGTGAAAAAGAACCCTTGTATGGGGCATTTGAAGAGGGAACGTGAAAGGAGGGTTTCTTTCCCATACCATAGGGTGACTCTTGGGTTCGCACTTGTCCTCCTCCTCGTCCTCCTCCCACCGACGCGGAAACCTGGAGGCGTGACGTCTTTGGTCTGTGGCGGGGCTCGACGAGCATCCCGGCAGCAGCGGCAGCGCCGAGCGATCGCGCTCGCGCGATCGCGGACGCGGGGCGGGAGCCGGAGAGTGGCTCTTCGCGCGGTAGGAGGATGACAAGCAGAGGGAAGGCAGAAGGAGGTGGAGGACGACAACGACGGCGACGTCTCAAAATAAAGTTCACACGACTCTAAGGAACAATGCTCGATGTATGGCCAGCCCGGTATACATCTGCGGGCTGCCTCGCAATCAGAACCTGTGGATTGGAACCTGCTCTGGATGCCTGCAAACGGCAGCGCGGGCCTTACGACGAAGACTACGACGACGACGAAGACGACGACGACGACCACGACGACGAGGAGGACCACGACGGAGAGGAGGAGAAGGAGGAGAAGGAGGACGAGGAGCAGGAGGACGAAGGCGACGACGACGGGGACGACGACGAAGACGACGACAACGACGACGACGACGAGGACCACGACGACGAGGAGGATCACGACGGGGAGAAGGAAGAAGAGGATGAGGACGAAGACGACCACGACGACGACCACGACGATGGCGGCGGCGGCGACGACGACGACGACGACGTCGAAGACGATGACGCGACGACGACGATGACGACGACGACGAGGACAAAGACGACGACGAGGACACAGGCGACGACGACGACAACGACGACGACGACGACGACGACGACGTGGAAGAGAGGCCCGCGAGGAGAGCAGGAGCACCGCCAGCGGGGGAGCCCCGCCTAGCGGCTGCAGGCTCATCACGTGGTCCGTGATGGGGCCGTCCCAGGGGATGCGCCACCCCTGCAGCGGCGGCGCCAGGGAGTCCTCCCCAGATGCGGTGGGGCGCAGAAGGGCATACTCTTGATGAGGGGAAGAACGTTGCAACAAATGTTTAGCAGCCACTTTGCGAGACCCCCCTCCCCGCCCCCCGCCTTCAAAATTGAACGCGCGCTCACGGAGAAGGGCGCCGGACTTATCCTGGGCTAAACATCTCGAACGCGAGACTTGCCAATGGTAAGGCCAGGGGGTAGAGGGGGGGAATGCGCTCTTGTTCTAGTTCGGGCGTTGTTGTTGCTGTTGTCGCAAAAGTTGTCTGCTCTAACGGTAATGCTGTGTGCTCCTGTTGGAGGCGCGCGTCCGACACCAACATAGAATGCAAACGTTGCATCGTATATCGTTTCTATACCAGTATGGCCAGAGAGTGACCGCCACGGAGAGTATGCTCTTAGATTTCTAAGCGTGATGAACTTTTCCGACTCCTCGAAGCGAGGCCCGTTCTGGGGCGCCCTCAGCTCTCTGGAAAGGCGCTGGCTGGACCGCGCCCTTCGCGGCTCAGGCTGGCTAGAAGTCGAAAAGGCAAGCACCTGTCGTGCGCGACGGAGGAGGAGGGAGAGAGGGAGGGAGAAAGGAAAGAGAGGAGGATGTTGTATGATTGCAGTGGCGAGTAGCCAAAGGTATTGCCAACTTCAGGTGTGGCGCCCAACTGTCGGACGAAATCGGTGCTGATCTCCATGTAGAACGGCGCTGGCTAGACGCGTCCAAGCGACACTCAGAGGCGAACGGAGCAAGAAGGCGGAGGTGACAAAATGACACGAGAAACAGAGGCAAGACAGGGGAACCCCCTGTCTGGGACATGGCCTTGCAGACACAGTTCTTCCACCACCGCCACCGCTAAACCGTCCTTCCGACCTCCTCCTCCGCCTCCTCCTCCTCATCCTCCTCGTCCTCTTCCTCCTCCTAATCATTCTCCTCCACCGCCTCCTCCTCATCCTCATCATCATTATCATCATCAGCATCATCATCAGCATCATCATCAGCATCATCATCTTCATCCTCATCCTCAACCTAAGTATCTTCCTCCTCCTCATCCTTCTCATCATCAGCACCATCATCATCATCATCATCATCATCATCATCATCAGCAGCAGCAGCAGCATCAGCCTCATCATCCTCATCCTCGTCCTCATCCCCATCATCCTCCTCATCCTCATCATCATCCTCACCCTCATCAGCAGCATCATCATCATCCACATCATCATTATCATCATCATCATCATCATCATCATCATCATCATCATCATCATCATCAGCAGCATCATCATCATCATCATCATCCTCACCCTCATCATCATCATCAGCATCATCATCAGCAGCATCATCATCCGTATCATCCTCATCCTCATCCTCATCCTCATCCTCATCCTCATCCTCATCATCATCATCATCATCATCATCATCATCATCATCATCATCATCATCCGCATCAACATCATCATCAGCATCAACATCATCATCAACACCATTACCATCACCATCACCATCATCATCATCATCATCATCATCATCATCATCCTCATCCTCATCCTCATCCTCATCCTCATCCTCATCATCATCATCAGCATCATCATCATCATCCGCATCAACATCATAATCAGCATCAACATCAACATCAACACCATTACCATCACCATCACCATCATCATCATCATCATCATCATCATCATCATCATCATCATCATTACCATCACCATCACCATCATCATCATCATCATCATCATCATCATCATCATCATCATCATCATCATCATCATCATCATCATCATCATCATCATCATCATCATCATCATCATAATCATCATCATTCCCGAGGGTTCCGCATCCTCCCAGGCGGCCCCAGCATCGAATCGATAAGCCGGATCGGGTCGACTGGAGCATCGAATCGGCAGAAATCGGCAAAAGCCGGCAGCCAAATCGAAATCGGCTGAAGTCGGCAGGTCCGAGCCGGATCGAGTCGGAAATCGGACCGCGTCAAGCCGGATCGGAATCGAAATCGGAACCCCCGCCCTGGGGGGGGGGGAGGGTTTTGGACCCCCCACTGGGGGGGGTTGGGTTTTTGGACCCCCCCCTGGAGGGGGGGGGGGGTTGGAACCCCCCCCGGGGGGGGGGGGGATTGGACCCCCCCCCTTTGGGGGGGGCTTTTGGAGGGGGGGGGTTTGGGGTGGGGCTTTTGGACCCCCCCCCTGGGGGGGGTTTGGGGTCCCGGGGCTTTTGGAACCCCCCCCCTGGGGGGGGGGGTTGGGGTCCGGGGCTTTTGGAAAACCCCCCTGGGGGGGGGGGGGGTTTGGACTGCCCCCTGAGGGTTCCTCCTGCCTCCTTCTCCTCCCCTTGGGGGCCAGAGCCGGAGCTAAGCCGGATCGGCAAAAGCCGGCAGGAATCGGCTGACGCATCGAATCGGCAGAAGCTGGATCGGGCGAACTCGAAATCGGAATCGCGAATCGGAATCCCGGAATCGAGTCGGTTCGAAATCGGAATCGCGGAAATCGATTCGAATCGAACCGGCGGAATCGGAATGACCCCTGTCCCCTCCTCCCTCCTCCTCCTCCCTCCTCCTCCTCCTCCTCCTCCTCCCTCCTCCTCCTCCTCCTCCTCCCCTTCCTCCTCCTCCTCCCTCCTCCTCCTCCTCCTCCTCCTCCTCCCCTCCTCCTCCTCCTCCTCCTCCTCCTTGTATCGCTCCTCCTCGTCCTTCTCCGCCCTTCGCCTGCTAACGCAGTCAATGGCGCGGCTACCATGCTAAACGCTGGGGGGCTGCTCCGACTCCCCCCCTCCCCCCACCCTGTCGTTGGCTTACGAGCCATAACTCGGGCCTTCGGCAGCCGCTCGGGACGACCCGGGCACTCCTGGAACGCTCTTGGCGAGGCTGGAAGGCATCCCGAGGCTGGCAAACCGAAAAGGCCCGACGAAATCATCTGGAAATCTCGCACTTCGAACCTCGGCTGCCCCACGAGCCCGATAGACCTGCCGCCCAGCCTCGGACTCTACGCGCCGCGAAAGACTGGCACCTGCGGGAGCCGCCTGCGCGGAGACGGGCCGGCCAGGGGCGAATCGTAGGCGGCTACCTCGGCATCAGCCTGCCCACCGCTGCTCTGCTGCCCCTCCCTCCCGCGGGGCTCCGACTGCGACCGCGCCCACACCTGGGTGCCGCCGACCTGGGGGGGGGAGCCTACGACGACGGGCAGGAAGAGGCGGAGAGGAGAATGGAGGAGAGGCGAAGGGAGGAGAGGCGAGCGGAGGAGGCAGAGAGAGAGAGGAGGAATAGAGGGAGGGAGGGAGGAGGGAGGCAGAGGGAGGAAGGGAGAGGGAGAGGTCAGGGAGAGGGAGGGAGGAAGGGAGAGGGAGAGGGAGGGAGGAAGGGAGAGGGAGAGGGAGAGGGAGAGGGAGAGGGAGAGGGAGAGTCAGAGGGAGAGAGAGGCATCAGACGGGAAAAGAGAGAGAGGGGAAGCGGGATGGAGATGCGCCTAGGGAAGTGGAAGAGGGAGCGACAGAGGGAGGGGGGAAGGAGGAGGGCGACAGCGAGGGAGCGGGGTAGGGGCAGAGAGTAATAATAATAATAATAATAATAATAATAATAATAATCATAATCATAATCATAATACTGAAGAAGAAGAAGAAGAAGAAGAAGAAGAAGAAGAAGAACACGGGCGGCGATGGGGACGAAGGCGGGGGATCAGGCGGATGGAGAGCACGGAGAGCGAAGCAGAGACAGCAGAGGATGGACCCAAAGGATGGACGGAGCAGAGTCCAAGGATGGGGGAGGAGGAAACGAGGATTCCTTCTTCTGGGCTGCGCGCCTCGCAGCATGGAGACCCAGCGTGCAGCAGGCGATGCCTGCAGTACGAGCAGGATGGGTGCCCCCCGCTGTTTGAGGGTGCGTGTCGCTCTGCCCTCACGGCTCGCTCAGCAAAGCTGCGGGCCAACTCGTTGCAGCACGTGGCGATGATGAAAAGGCAGTGGAGGCGCAGTGCCGCCACTGCTAAGCGCTTGCAACCCCGCTGCTGCGCCAACGTCGGGCCGCCCTGGAGAGCGTCTCCTGCAACGTGTTGCCCTCGTCCCTTGAGGACCACGGAGGGTGGACCCCAGGCGTTTTCAGGAGACTCATGGTGTGTTCGAGGCACCTTCGAGCCTCCGGGAGGCAGGATCCCGGGCCGAACTGAAACTTACGACCTTGTCGTCTTCCCACCTCCCAGCACCCCCTCCTCTCCTCCTCCTCCTCCTCCTCCTCCTCCTCCTCCTCCTCCCTCCTCCTCCTCCTCCTCCTCCCTCCTCCTCCTCCTCCTCCTTCTCCTCATATCTACTATCCTCGTCGTACTCCTCTTCTTCACCATCATCGTCATCATCACCTCGTCGTGCTCCTCTTCTTCACCATCATCGTCATCATCATCATCATCACTAGCATCACCATCAAACATGCAATCATCCTTACTATGAAAACAACGACAACAACGTCAACAGTGTCGTCGTCATCGCCATCTTCATCCTTGGCATCATCAGCAGTAGCAGCAGCAGACTCGTCAGCATAGCGGTCGCATTCATCGTCGCCATCGTCGTCATCGTCAGTATCGCCTTCATCATCGGCATGGTCATTACCATCAGAATCGTCGTCGTCAACCTCCTCGTCATCATCAGCAGCAAAAACATCATCAGTAGCAGTATCATCATCAGCATCACCATCAGCATCGAACAACTTCAACGACATCACCATCATCATCATCATCAGCATCATCAGCAGCAGCATCGTCGTCCGCATCACCATCATCATCAGCATCATCATCACCACTGACCTCATCGTCATCTTCTTGTAAATCATCATCAATAGTATGAGCATCATCATCCTCATCATCAGCATCATCACCGTCGTCGTTGTCGTCGTCGTCTTCGTCGTCGTCGGCGTCGTCGTCGTCCGCATCCTCATCATCCTCACCATCTGTATCAGCATCGACAACTTCAACGACATCACCATCATCATCATCATCAGCATCATCAGCAGCAGCATCGTCGTCCGCATCACCATCATCATCAGCATCATCATCACCACTGACCTCATCGTCATCTTCTTGTAAATCATCATCAATAGTATGAGCATCATCATCCTCATCATCAGCATCATCACCGTCGTCGTTGTCGTCGTCGTCTTCGTCGTCGGCGTCGTCGTCGTCCGCATCCTCATCATCCTCACCATCCGCATCAGCATCGACAACATCAACGACAGCATCGTCGTCGTCGCCACCGCGGTCGTCCTCCTCGTCCTCGTCCACATCGTCATCGTCGTCGTCGTCGTCTCCCCCCTTCGTCCTCATCAGCATCAGCATCACCACCGCCACCATCATCATCAGATCATCATCGTCGTCGTCGTTATCATCAGCAGCAATATCATTATCATCAGCAGAAGCAGCAACATCAGCAGCAGCATCAGTAGCATCATCATCGGCAGCAGCATCGGTAGCATCATCATCATCATCATCATCATCATCATCATCATCATCAGTATCATCAGCAGCAGCATCAACATCATATCATCAGCAGCATCCTCATCAGCATCAGCATCAACTTCATCATCAGCATTATCCTCAACCTCATCAACAGCACAGTCATCGTCAGCAAAGGCATCACCATTATGGTCATCACCAAAACCGCCATCACCAACAGCCATCACCCGTCACGACCACCGTCATACAAATAGTAGTCATCATCGTCACCGTCATCAATTTTATCATCATCCTAATCATCAGCAGCAGCACCCTCGTCATAGTCATAATCATTGCATCATCATCATCATCCGTGCCATCGTCATCATGATCATCAGCATCATCATCATCATCATCATCATCATCATCAGCAGCAGCATCATCATCGTTGTCGTCATCATGGGCGTCGCCATCAACATCAGCAGCATCACCAGCATCACCATCATTATTAGCATCATCATCAGCATCGTCATTTGCAGAGTCATCATCGTCATCATCATCATCACAATTATCAGCAGTAGCATCATCATCCTCATCCTCATCCTCATGATCATCATCATCAGCCCCATCATGACCATCATACATGACATCCTCATCATCGCCATCACCATCAGCAGCAGCATCATCATCATTATCATCATCATCGTCATCATCATCAGCAGCAGCATCATCACCGTCGTTATCATCATCACCATCATCATCATCATCACCATCATCATCAGCATCATCATCTTCATCGTCACCATCATCAGCAGCATGGTCATTGCCATCATCATCGTCATCGTTAGCAGCAGCAGCATTGTCGTCCTGTATATCAGAATGAGGGGGCCGAACGCTCTTACGTGCATGGCTAAATCCAGGTCCCTACAACCAGGCGCTGCACACTTCTCAAGTGAGACGCCAGTATTGACAGAAAACTTGGGGGTCGGCAAGCGAGGACCACTTCGGACCTCAGCCAGAATCATCAGAACCAAGAGGTTCGAGCGACTTGAGTCGAAGTGGCTTAATGGAGGAAGCCTCATTTGCCAGCGCCCTGCGTAGTAGGACAACTATACATGTCCACCTCCTTCATCCTCCCTCACCCCTCGTCCCCGGGTAGCTTTCCTCCGTCCTGAGAAGGGGTAGAGGCAGGAACGAGGTGGACCTGTAGAGGTGTCCTCATCCGAGCGCTCGCCGCCCGCAAAGGGGGCACGATCAGGAGAAATCGAGAGCGACGTCTTGGGATGGCCCGATGCTCGCAGCCCCTGCGGCGACTTGCGCGGGGAAAACAAGCAAGCGCTGAAAGCAAAGGATCCAATCCCGAAGACCCTCGCCGGGCAGCATGGACTTTGTCTATATTCGCCTGAATTCGAGCAAGACTGCTGGGAAGCAGTCCGATTGCAATATAATAGCATGCAGGCCAGCCTGAGACCGTCTTGCCACAAGAATATCGCCTTGATCATATGGCACCCCCAACAATGCTGATGTGAACAGCCGCCCAGGTGCAGACCCGACCCAGACCTACGGTCAATGCCACCCCCCTCTACCCCTGCTCTCGTGCAACGCCATGGCCAGACACCACGCTTCAACCAAGTACGCGCACGCGCAGGAGCCAGCATCCCAAGCAACGGCTGGGCTCGGGCACGTGTCAACCCGCGCACCTGAAACAAGATTGGGCACTGCGCCATGCGGCCCTAGCCGAGTGCGCCTCAGCGCCTCAACTATGCCGTTGTGGGCGCTCAGAGGCCACCCAACTCCAGCTGCGGCTGGCGCTCGCTTGGCGGGGGGGGCGCAGCGCAGGCCTCGCCCATGGCTCGGGTGATGCTGGAAGTGGTGCTGGCCCAAGGTGTCCCCAGCTTGTCGCACAATCTTGGAGCCCCTGGGGCCCTGTGGGCCTCGTGAGGCGTCCGTCCTCCGAAGGCCATGTCGGCCTCCTCGGGAGTCCTGGTGACACCTTTGGCCAGGGACACCCTTCTGACAGCACCTGAATGGTTGAGCGCTTCAGGGCGCCGCCAGCTAACTCGCCTCAGCGGCTCGGGTGTGCAGCGCGCCCTCACACGAGCATGGGCCCGCGCACCCTCCACGGCGAGACCGCCGACCTCCAGCGCGCGAAAGCCGCGAGCGCAGCGGCCAGCGCGCCTCAGCTGGAGTGCTCGCCGGAGCCACAGCTGGAGGGCCCAGCCCCCTGGGGGAGGGGCTCGCCGACGCCGCGAGGGACCTGCTTGCTCATGACCTGCGCATGGCGTCGCTCGCCCGTGTAGGCGGTGCGGCCGTGGCCGAATCGGAAGTTGTCCACCACAATGGCTTCGCCCGCCTTCAGCTTCAAGGAGGCCCACTCGGCGGCTCGGTGGGCCTTACGCAAGTCCTCGATCTCGGCGGGCGAGAACTCCGAGCTGTCCCCGTAGGTGGCGTGGAGCGGCGACTGCCCCTCGCCGTAGTTGGAGGAGTTGTGGTTGTCAAGGATGCCACTCAGCAGGACCTCCTGCCCATCTTCGGTGATCCCGAGCGCCGGTGCTCGCCACCGCAGCACCACCGTGCCGTTGGAGGAGCGCTCGAGCCACGCGCCCGCGGCGCCGCCCAGCGCCGAGTCCTGCCCAGCGATCCGCTGCGCCTCCGCCCAGTCGGCGGTCCCGAAGCGGCGCTGCCAGAAGCCCGTGGCGTAGGCCCAGTCGGGGGAGGTCACCTCGTCCCCCAGGCGGCGGGTGTACTCCACGCCGACGCTCCGCAGCTTCCCCAGCACCCCTGGGGCCAGCTCGCCAAGCAGGCGCACCAGGTCCACCAGCTGCAGCTCGCCGCCGGAGTCGGCCTCGCGGAAGCAGCCGAAGGCCACGAAGCGGGGCACCCTGGCCTGGTAGGCCTTCTCGCAGTGGACGGCAACGGGCCTGTCCGCGGGAGCGCCCGCGGCCACGTCGTAGACCTTGTCCTGCAGCTGGGGCCTCACCACAGTGCCCCCGGAGTTGTAGTCGCCGAGCCCGTGGTGGAAGCCTGCGCGGTTCCAGGCGCGGATCGCCGACACGCGCAACCCCTCCGCGTCGGTCGCGCCGCCGCGCAGCAGCACCACGCCCTGGGACCTCAGCGCCGCTCCCACTTCTGGCGAGGCCGCGTCGAAAACCGGGAGCGCGCTCGCATCCCCAGCGCAGCGCAGCGCGGGGCACAAGACGGAGAGCCAAAAGGGCCGCAGCCGGGGGCGGCTCTGCGGCATCGCTCCGCCGCCACGGCCAAGAGGCCGCCGGCGGGCTCCAGGAGGGGTGACTGAGGCCACGCGGGGCAGAAAGTTGGAACTCTAGCCCGAACGGCTGCCGTTGGCTACGGGGTGCGTAGCCGCAGCAGCAGCTGCAGCCGCGCCTCGCAACAGAAGCAGAGGTGCTGCGGAGGATGCGGCAGCGGGGGCGGCGGGGACGGGGGCAGCAGTGGCCGCGGCGGCGGCGGGCGGAGTGCGGGAGCCTGGGGGGCGGGGGCCAGGCAGCGAGGACCACAGCGGTGGCGGCGGGTGAAGGAGGCACTGGCGACGGCGGCGACGCGGGGAGCAAGACTCTGATGACCATCATCCTCCTCATCATCATCATCATCATCATCATCATCATCATCATCATCATCATCATCATCATCATCATCAGCAGCAGCAGCAGCATCATCATCACCATCATCATCGTCATCATCAGCATCATCATCATCAGCAGCAGCATCATCATCATAATCAGCATCATCAGCAGCAGCATCATCATCAACAACCGAATCATCAACATCATCATCACCACCAACAACAGCATCATCATCAGCATCAGCAGCAGCATCATCATCGTCATCCTCAGCATCAGCATCATTATCAGCATCAGCATCATCAGCATCGTCATCATAATCTGCATCATCATCATCATCAGATCATCAGCAGCAGTATCAGCAGCAGTATCAGCATCATCATCGTCAGCAGCATCAGCATCAGCATCATCATCACCAGCATCACCAGCATCATCATCAGCATCATCAACATTATCATCACCATCATCAGCAGCAGCAATATCATCATCGTCAAGGCGTCGACTCGATCCTCGCCTCCTCACTGCAATGGAAGTACATGGAATGCTATGGAAAAAGAAAGGTGTAAGAAAGTACAAGGAATGCTGTGGAAGCACACGGAATGCTATGGAAGTACGTGGAATGCTATGGACTGCTCGTGCAAGGAAGTACATGGAATGCTATGGACAAGGGTGTTGGTTGGGATGTATAGCGAACGATGAGGAAGCGAAAAAGGCGATGGAGACGAATGATGAAAAAAACAGAAAATAATAATAAAACGAAGAAGAGGAGAGCAGGCGCGCGGGTGCCAAGCGACGACCTGGTCTCCGAACCACCAGCCCGCGAGGTGGTCCCCGTCGCGGGAGTCCCAGTAATAGAGGAAGACCGACATGTTCTCGTGGCCCTCTATCTGATCCGTCTTCTGGTAAACTTTCCTTGGCCCACAGAACCCAAACAGAACCCCTGGCGCCTGCATCCTCACTTTCCCACCCTCGCCTTCACAGTGCTCCTACTCGCTATATACTGCTCGCACTGCTCCTTCCCCTCTCCCCTCCATCCTTTCCTACTCGCCTGCCTTCTCCCCCTCCCCGTCCCCACCCCCATTCCCCCTCCTCCTCCCCTCGTTCACATGAAACCTTTGGCACGGGTAGTTGCACGATGATTGCTCACCCCTTTCCCCCGGACTTTCCCAACTCCACCCTGGGCAATCCCCAGCATGTCTGCACACTGTGGCTAGACCCATGCCGACATAACGACCCTAAACGCCAACGCTGCATGATAAGATGCATAATAAGATGCATGATCGGAACGGCACGGCACTGCAACTGTCAAAAATTCTTACCAAGCACGACACGGGCCGGCACGGGACGCGGGCTCGGCATGGTACGGCACAGTGTCCGCATTATCGAAAACAACCACGGCACGGCACAGCACGGCACATTGCTCGCAGGCACGACACGGCACGGCACGCTGACACGGCACGGCGCGGCAACTTTGTTCACACTCCCGAGAAAAAGGCAGGTCACAGCACGGCATGCGGGCTGGGCACGGCACGGCAGGGCACGGCAACTTAATTACAGTCTGGAAACCCAGCACGGCGAGGCACGACATTGCACGCGGGCACGGCACGGCACGGCAACTTTTTTCGCAGCCTCGAAAGCAAACACGGCACGAGACGGCACGCGGGTACTGCACGGCACAGCACAGCAACTTTGCCGCACTCTCGAAATCAAACACGACACGGCACGGCACGGCACGCAGGTACGGCACGAACCGTTACGGCAATGTTCTCGGACTCTCGAGACCAAGCACGGCACGGCACGGCACCGCACGCGGGCAGGGCAGGGCACGGCAACTGTTTCACAATCTCGAAACCAAACACGGCACGGCACGGCGCAGCATATGGGAAGCTGGCAAGTCGGTGTGCAACCCGATCTTGCCCCGGCACATGCCTGCGCACATGCAAATTGGCGGTGGGCACGTTTCGATGTGGTGTCAGCATCCAAATCAGCAGCGCCACGCATGACACACGCGCGCCGCAACATCTTCGGAATAAACTCATTTGCTGAACAGTGTCAAGGTGGACGTGTGTTGTGCATCACGCTACAGCACCAACAAATCACGCTGTATGCGCGCATGGCCTCCAAAGTAGCAAGATGCGGGTTAGCAGGTGGGTATAATCAAACTGTTGGTTGAATCCATCTATAGTAAGAGATGGCCTTGCGAATGGACTGGGCAGAAAGCATTTGACGCATGCGCGCGCATTCACTTCAATCACGGCATCTAGCGCGAAGGAGGGGGCGTGTGATGCGGGTGCTTACTAAAGAAAAAACGTTTCGGTGGGCGGGTGGGAATGATCTCGTTCCACAGCTATCCGCCAGCGTGCCTCGAGGCACGAAGAGGAGTGTTCTTGAAGCTTCTAGAGTTCGCTGCACTTCGAATTCAATGCTGAAGCATTGTACTTGTAGGGGCAGGGAGCCCGAATTGCCAAGTCTTCTTGGCGGTCCCGCGCGCTCCCGCGCGTTCCTGGGCCTTCTCGCATGACGTTGCAAGAGGCCCCCCATGACGGACCAAGAGGGCCCCGAGGTCCAAGATGGCCCCGAGTCGCCCAGAGATTCCTCCAAAACGCCAGCGACGGCCAGCAGACGGCCTAATGCCCCCAAGACGCCCTGGGAAGGCCCTTCGAGGCCCCCCAAGAGGGCCCCGAGATGCCAAAATTATCGATTTACAACTGGTGCTTGAAGGATTGTAGTGCTCTCGCCTTTTAGGGCTTTCGATGCTCCGAGACGGCCCAAGAAGCCCCCAAGATCGCCCCAAGACGGCCCAAGAGGCCCTCAGGAGCGCCCCCAGACGGCCCAAGATGGCCCAAAGACGGCCCAAGAGGCCCCCAAGACAGCCCAATACGGTCCCGAGGGGGGCCCAAGGCCCTCGAGGGGGAAAACGAACTAACATGTCGAGCCCTTCGCCCCATGATGGCCCCCGAGACCGCCAGCAGCACCACAGGAGGCCTTAGACTTCTTATTCGGTGTTCGCTCTGTTTCAAGAGAACTCCCCCTGGCCACCCGGTGGCCACCCGGAAGGCCCCCAAGGAAGCACAACGTCCACACAAAAACCTCCAAGACGGCGCAAATTGGCTTCTAAGATGGTCACATTGGCCCAAGATGGCCTCCAAGATGGCCAAAGACGGTCCAAGTTGCCTCCAAGTTCGCCAAAGAAGCCACCAAGACGGCCCAAGATGATGCCTCCGAGCCCCCCTGAGAAGCCACCAAGATGGCCCAAGACGGCCCACGCGGCCCTCAAGACGCCCCCAAGACGTCCTCCAGGAGGGCCCGAAGAAGCCAAAATAATTGGTTTTCAGATGGTGTTTGAAAGATGGTAGCATATGCTTCTTTCCGGCCTTCTGACAGCCCAAGACAGCCCAAGAGGCCCCCAAGATCGCTCCCAGATGGCCCAAGAAGCCTCCAAGACGGCCCCAAGAGGTCTCCAGGTCGCCCAAGATGGTCCAAGATCGCCTCCAAGACGGCCCAAGAGGGTCCAAGATGGCCAATAAGACGGCCCAAGAGGGCCCAGGATGCTTCCAAATCTGCCCAAGAAGCCTCCAAGACGGCCCGAGAAGCCCCGAAGAAGCCTCCAAGCCTGCCCAAGAGGCCAAAAAGAGGTCCCCGGGAGGGCCCGAGGATGTCAAAATCACTGGTTCCCCTTAGGTGTTTCAAAGATGTTGGCATTTCTATATTGTTCGGCCTTCCGACGGCCAAAGACGGCCCAAGAGGCTCCCCAAATCGCGCCAAGGTGGCTCCAAAGGCTTTCATGATGACCTCATGACGGCCCAAGAAGCCTCCAAGACAAGCCTCCAAGACAGACCCACGAGGCCTCCAAGTTCGCCCAAGATGGTCCAAGACGGCCCAAGAGGGTCCAAGATGGCCAACAAGACGGCCCAAGGGGGGCCAAGATGCCTCCAAGTCCGCCCAAGAAGCCTCCACGACGGCCCAAGAGGCCCCCAAGAAGCCTCCTAAACGGCCCAAGAAGCCTCCAAGAGGTTTCCAGGAAGGCCCGAATGGTGATTTGTTATTTAAGATTTGGGCATTTGCTTGTTTTCGGCCTTCCGACGGCTCCGGAAGGCGCAAAGGCCTCCATGGCGGCAACAAGAGCGCCCAAGAGGCCTCCAAGATGGCCCAGGACGGCCCAAGAGGCCCCGAAGACGGCCCCAAGATGGCACCCAGACAGTCAAAGATGACCTCCAAGACGGCTACAATGGCCTACAAGACGGCTGGAAACGCCGCAAGAGGCCCCGAAGACGGACTCCGGCGGCGTCAGACGGGACAGGGACGCTTTAAGACAGCCATGGAGTCCCCCAAACACCTCCAACTCCAAAGACCCCCAATAGGCCCAAAGATACCCCAGGAGGCCCCAAGAGTGGCCCAGGAGGCTCCAAATCGGTTTCCTCCTCCCCCTTCTCTTCCTCCTCCTCCTCCTCCTCCTCCTCCTCCTCCTCCTCCTCCGACTCCTCCTCCTCCTCCTCCTCCTCCGCCTCCTCCTCCGCCCGTTTCCACCACGGCTGGGGGAACTCGGCCAAGCGTTGCCCCAACGTTTGGCTACATAGGCGTATCCTAAAAGGCAGGGGGCGGCGGTGATTCGCCGTAGGCGTCGTGGACATGTACCCCTGACCGCATGTCAGGCCGCACCGATCCGTCGGCGTTTCCTGCCCCCTGCCTGGGCCAGGCGGCTCTTCTGGCGCAGCCCTCGGCCTCCTGCCTCGGCCCCTCTGCCCCGGCCCCGGAGCGGCGGAGGCGGACGCCCTGGGAGCAGCCAGCAGCCCCCTGCAGGGAAACTCGGCGGAGCCGTCCAGCTGCGCCTGCCGAGCTCTGCCCGCGATCCCCGAGGGTCCGGGGGGGAAGTCTTCGGGACGCACTGGCCCGGGCCAGCGCGAACCCAGGTCGGCCAGGACCACGTCGCGAACCCAGGCCGGCCACGAAGTAGCTCCCAAACCCGGGCCAGCGGAGGGCGGGGGAGCGGGGTGGGCTCGAGGTGGCTTTCAAACCAAGGTCAGCCAGAGGATCTCGGAGGGGATTGGCTGACCCCCGCTTCCAATAGTAGATCGACTGCGTAAGTGATGCACCCCAAACTTGAGCATGTCGCTTGATCCACGCAAGAAAACTACAAAAGGTTCGTAGATCTACGAGCATTCTACGCGAGCCCTGGATACGCGAGCCCTGGTTCGGGTGCTTCTGGCCAGCGCCTGGCCTCCACAGGCCACCGGCGGCCGCCGGAGGCCTCCCCGAGGCCTCCCGGGAGGCCTCTGGGGACCTTCGGTGGCCCAGGGTGTACCCCGTGGGGGTGAGGAGCCGGGGCGGGAGCAGCCTTACTCAGGTGAGTCTGTTGGGAGTCTCGCAGGCATGGCCTCCTGAAAAGTTGTCTAAGCCTTCTCCGAAGACACAGGCGGCCTCTCGAAGGCGCAAGGGCTTCTCAGAAGCCCCGCCGCCTTCCGAGAAGGCCGGCCCCCTCTCACTTCCCCGCCAGGCCTGCCTCCGAACTAAAGTGCGTTTAGTAGCCTTTAGTGACCTTTAGCGGCCTTTGTTGTATTATAAGCGGCCTCTACCGTCCTTTAGTCGCCGTTTAGCAGCATCTAGGAGTGGCCTTTAGCGGCTTTTAGCAGCCTTCATTGGCTTTGAATCTCAAGATCTGAGCCGCGGACGCGTCGTCGGCCAGCAGATGGCCCCCTGGCTCCGCCAGGGGCGCTGCCGATGCTGCGGCGGCTCTGCCGCACCGAGACCCACAAGGAAGGGACGAAGTGGAAGAAACGGCTCGGGAAAACGTCACAGGCGGACCCCCACACACACACACACACACACACACACACACACACACACACACACACACACAAAAAAAAAAAGGTAACAGACGGCATAGCGTGTCGCCGTGGCGGCCCCGGCGACACGCTATGCCGTGCAAGTGGATAGCGCTCCGCTCCGCTCCGCGGGGAGGGAGGCTCGGGGAAACTCGAGACTGTGACGCCTGGGGACCGCGAAGTGGATAGCGTGTCGCACAAACCCCTGCCTCGGCCGCGGGATGTGCGCACACCAGCGCTGGCACGTCTTAGTCGGCGCTCGCGTAGTGCACGATGCGTCTCCTCATCTTGCTCCTCCTCCTGCTCCTCCTCCTCCTCCTCCTCCTCCTCCTCCTCCTCCTCCTCCTCCTCCTCCTCCTCCTCCTCCTCCTCCTCCTCCTCCTCCTCCTCCTCCTCCTCCTCCCCCTCGTGCTACTGCTAGGCACAAACTGGAGGCGAACTCAAAATCCGAACATCAGACGGCTGCTGCATCGAAGCTCTGCCTGTGGCGCAGCCCAAGGCGACACGCGACTCAGGCGCCGATTGGGAACAGCGAAAGACGAGCAAGTCGATGTCGGCCGCCGTGAAGTGGACGACCCTGCTCCTGCTCCTGCGCCATTCCCTCATCCCACCCTCTTTGTTTCCTTCCTCCTCTGTTACTCCCTCCTCTTCTTCCTCCTCCTTGCATTCCCCCTCGCCTCACCTCCCCTCATTCCCGCTGTTTCCCCACCTCTGCCCATCCCTCCCTCCCCTTTCCCATGACCCCTCTCCCCCAGACGTGCCTTCACCCAACGCCCGCAGGTGTATGGAACAAGACGCCATCAGGGGATGGCATGCCGTGGTGACGGCGGCGTCCTGCGCCCCCTCCCCATCCGCTGTGGCATCGGGGGAGCAACACTTCTCCCAGCCAAGCGCAACGACCAAGTGAGCGACCCGGCTGGAGCAGCAGGGCAAGTGCGCGAAGCGCCCAGCGTCCAGCACCAGAAAGTGCGTCGAGGCTCGAGGCGAGAAGACAAAAAAAGGGGGAGCGAGAGCGCTACGAACGGGGGAGGGGGGCGAAAAGGGCGAGACTGAAGCGCTCCCACAGCCCTGCGCATCCTGTTGTGATTGACGCCCTTCTCCGCATACTCGCCCACAAGCGTGTCCATGCCGATCTCGTCATCGTCCTCACCGGCGACGAGAATCAGGCAGGTTCGAGGGAAAGCCGAGGACACGAAGGCGGATTGCGCACAGACGCCTGCTGCATGCCAGCAAGAATGGTGATGATGATGATGATGATGATGATGATGATGATGATGATGATGATGATGATGATGATGATGATGATGATGATGATGATGATGATGATGATGATGATGATGATGATGATGATGATGATGATGATGATGCGGCGCGTAACCAATTGAATCATATTCGAAGACACGGCCATGGCCATAGAGAAAAACTGCGCCGCAGGAACTGCGCGCCAGACCAAGCGCTGCCGAAAGTTCGGCGCGGTCAAACGAGCGGAGGGGGCCTCTGTCGCCCCCATCCCCCCACTCCTGGCCCTACCTCAGAGGCGGGAAATATAGTGTCCCCGCCAGGGCGGATGGCCTCACGCTGTAATGTCCGCTGGCGTCCGCCAAGACCACCGCTCACCCTCACCAGGGTCCGAAGAACCCGTTGTTGTTCGCGAGCACCGACCCGAAGAAGAGAATGGTCATGGAGATCACGTAGGTGCTCTCGCTCACGCCCCCCAGGCTGAAGCCCGCGGGCGGCGGAGGGGTGGTCGTCACCGGCTCCCCGCCGAAGAAGCGCATTTCCACCGAGGGGAAGCGCTGGCCCGCCCGGAGCCCCGCTGGGGCCGGGGAGGCGCCGACGAAGGACAGCGCGATGGAGCCCACCAGCAGGGCGGTGCAGACCGCGACGCCGCAGGCAAGCAGCAGGGAGGCGGAGCGGGCCATCGCGATGCGTGCAGAGCGAGCGCGCGGGGCGGTGCCGCGTGAGTGCTCGACGTATCTGGACGAAAACAACTCGAGCCAAAATGGTCACAGGAGAGAACGACGACGACGACGACGACGGCGACGACGACGACGACGACGACGATGATGACGTTGACGATGACGATGATGGTGGTGATGATGATGATGATGATGATGCCGATGATGCCGATGATGATGGTGATGATGATGATGCTGATGAGATAATGATAAAAATGATGGTGATGATGATGATGATTATGAGGATGATGATGTTGATGGTGGTGGTGATGGTGATGGTGATGATGATGTTGGTGACAATAACAATAACAATGGCAAAGATGATGATGATGATGATGATGGTGGTGGTGGTGCTGGTGGTGGTGAAGATGGTCATGGTAATGGTGATGGTGATGGTGATGGTGGTGGTGATGGTGATGATGCTGATGATGATAAGGATGATGATGATGATGATGGTGGTGGTGGTGATTGTGATGATGGTGACAATGATAGTGGTTATATTGATGATAATGATGATGATGATGATGATGATGATGATGATGATGATGATGATGATGATGATGATGGTCCTGATGATGATGACTAAGATGGTGATGATGACGATGTTTGTAATGATGATGCTGGTGACGAAGCTGGTGATGATGTTGGTGGTGATGATGATGTTGGTGGCGATGGTGATTATATTTAATGGCGATTGGAATGATGATGATGATGATGGTGATGATGACTGTGGCGGTGATGATCCTAATAATGATGCTGCTGGTGGTGACCAGTGTAATGAAGATGCGTATGATGTTGGTGGTGGTGATGGTGATGATAATGCAGATGATCATGCTGATGATGATGGTGGTGGTGGTAATGGTGATGATGGTGCTACTGATGATGGTAATGATGATGATTAAGATTATGATGATGATAACGAATACAATAGAAGACCCTCACAGAGTCCTCAAACGTGCCCGAGAGACGTACGTCCAATTTACTGTTCGAGCCTTCCGCCCCAAGAGGACCCCCCTAACCGCAGTCATGCGCCCAAGGAAGCCCTAGGAGGCCCCGAAAATGCCCGCACAGGCCCAAAAGAAGCATCCAAACGCCTTCAGCATGTCCCCACGAAGCCCCAAAAAGCCTTACCCGTGAACACGTTCCCTCTCCTGATGGACCTCTTGCGCGTGGGTCCAGGATACCACGCACCAGCAAATATGGTTTTAACTACCTTCAAGGGGTCCCCATCCTCCGCCTCCTCCTCCTCCTCCTCCTCCTCCTCCTCCTCACCACCATCATTATCATCCTCATCCTCATCCTCCTCATCATCATCATCATCATCATCATCATCATCATCATCATCATCATCATCATCATCATCACTTCCCTCATCCTATTATTCCTCCTCCTCCTCCTCCTCCTCCTCTTCCTCCTCCTCCTTCTCCAACTCCTCCTCCTCCTCCGTAGCCATTGTGGCCCAAGGCCTATGTTTTCGCGGGCTGAGCCCGCATTGGCACGACTGGATACCGCTAACCCGCGGCAGCTTTCAATCTTTTCGTGAGCTCCTGCTGGAGCGACCCCGCCTGGCACACACCAGGCAGAAGGACAGATCTGCTACGTGGCTCGACACCCCATGGCACCAGCGCGCCAAGATGGATACGTCAACTGCCACGCCTGCTCCTACAACTGGAACGGGAAGGGCAAGGAGTCCTGCTACTGGTGTGGAAAAGCCCTCTCGCCCTGGTCAGGCCGCCCGCCACCTCTCCTCGGGGCTTGGGAGGCCCGCTTCGCAGACGCCGCCGCTGCCGAAGCCCCCGCGCCCCCGCCGGCTGAAGACTGGGAACCCTGGTCGTCCTGGCCCGAGTCGAGGCGGCGCCGCAACAACAAGGGCAAGGGCAAGGGCAAGCAAGAGGACTGGTGGGCAGAGGAGACAACGGCCAGGACTGCGGATCAGGTGATACTTGAGCTTCAGCAGCTGGCCCCGCACATCGACAAGGCAGCCATCGAGGGCATCAAGCAGCAGATACCGCCCCCCAGCCGCCGCAGAAGCCTGAGGACCCCAACCAGAAGCACAACCGCCTGCAGGCTGCGGAGCGAAGGGCTCGCAACAACCTGAAGCGCCTCCTCGACAGCGAGCGCAAGGCGGAGACTTGGTGCAAGGAGAGGAAGCAGGCTTCGGCGGACGCGGCCTACGAGCTGGCGGAGGCGCAGGCCCAGGCCCAGGAGGCGGTCGACGCTCTCCAGCTGGCACGCCAAGCGTGTCAGTCTAAGGCCCCAGGGGCGGCGGCCGACAGCTCCATCTTCAACCTCACCAGCCTCCTCGAGAACGAGACCATCCACATTGAAGCAGGCAAGGCCTTCGATCTTCAAGGTCTCGAGGTCGACAACAAGGACCGCGAAGCCCGGGACCAGCTGCAGAAGCGGTTCGCGACGGGGGCCAAGGCCAAGGTCATGGAGCTCTTCGGCGACACCGCCACCAACATCACTCATATGCGCAGCGAGGCCAACGTCCTTCGAGCTCGATTCGCCGCCAAGCGCCAGCGTGTCGACGCAGAGGGCCACGCCAGGGCCGCCACCGAAGAAGCAGACGCAGCAGGCAAGCCAGCCCAGGCACCCGCCACCGTGGCAGCCCCTCCTGGCTCGGCCTCTAGTGGCGCTGCGGCCCCTGCGCCTGCAGCCCCGCGGGCCCCTGCGGCTGCCGCCGCGGCCGCTGCGACCCCTGGCCGTGCTGCTGATGCACCTGCCCCTGCTCGCCACAGACACCCCGGCATCGAGGACAAGGCCCAGAAGCTCCTCCCCGCCCTGCGCAACCCGTCCACGGAGGCGATGGGGCCATGGAGGAGCTTTAGCACAGCCTCCCACAAGCACACGCAGACACTGGGCGAGACGCGAAGGCCACCGTCGGAGACCCATTCCACCACGAGCGCCACTCCGCCATCACGCACAGCATGGACGCCGTCCTGGACCCGTTCGACGACCTGGACGCGCACTACGACGATCTGGAAAACGAGTATTATCGGAAATACGACATCCGAACAGCCGGCATCAATTTCAGTTCCACTCCGCCCGAGACGCTGTCCTCGGCAGGGGGCGATGAGACGGCTCACCGAGCACCCGACGTACCCGCGTTGTTGGAACCAGGGGGGCCTTGGAAGCAGGCCCACCCTGATGCCGCTCCGCCCAAGACGCCGTCCTCGGGAGGGGGTGATGAGACGGCCAACACCGCCGCCCACTCTGGTAGGTTGAGTCCAAGCGAGGCGCGGCCTGCTTACAAGGGTGGTGGAAGCACGCCAGGTGCAGGCGACGAGGCCGACGCGAGAGCTGGTAGAGTCTGCGACGAGGCATCCGATGGCGGCCCCATGCCAACACTCAAGACCAGAATCTGGGGACCCAGCTCTTGCTGAGCCAGCCGCCGCACCACCCAAGGATGTGAACCCGCAAGAAGACAGGAATGGCTGTCTGTGCACTAGCCACCCCCCGGAGGGCCACCAATCGGGCAACACGGCTAAGGTGTCTACGGACGCGATCTCAGTGCCCCCTGAAACTGGCACTGGACCATCCCAGCAGGCCCCGGGCCTCTTCTATTCGAACATCACCGCGCGGGGGCCGCAGGCAGCCAGATTGGTCGCCCCCAAGGGCAAACGCTACCAAATGCTGGCCCTTGTTGAGACGCACGCGGGCGCCAACAAGGCCCACTGGAGCAAGGGCGACTGGCGAGTCTCCAAATGCGACGCTCTCCCCACCATGCGCTCGGCCACGGGTACCACAGGAGGAGAACTCATCCTCGCCCGCAAGCACGCCGCCTGCTCCACCTTCGGCGGCCTGAGGCACCAGGCTCAGATCTACGAGCAGGACCCCTGCTGCGGGTTCGCACCCATGACATGGCACCGCAAGACGGGCAACATTGTGGTCGTGGCCTTCTACGTCGAGCCCCACGACACGATCGCTGGCCCCGTCCTGGAGCGCCTCGTGGCCCTCACTGCGTCCCTGGCTATGCTGGCTGATCCCTGGGTAGTCGTAGGCGACTGGAACTTGGGCCCAGCCCTCCTGACCGCCTCGGGCTACCTGGAGGAGTGGGGAGGCACCATCGTCACCCCGCCAGTCACGGCGGCCTGCGACAAGGGCAAGGGCTCCCTCGTCGACTACGTGGTCACCAAGAGCGGCTGCGAGGACTTCATCACGGTGCGCCCAGTACACGATGCACCTTAGGGCACGCACTGCGGGCTCGAGATTGAGGCAGGCGACGCGACAAATCACTTCGGCTACCCCGCCCGATGCCACGACCGCCTCGCCCCGCCAAGCAGCCCAACCCCGACAGTAAATCCAGCCGACGACGACAGCTACGCCTTCAGCGACGGCGCGAAGCACTACAAGAGGAATTTAGATATGCGTTCGACGAGACCAACGAGACCCCAGAACCCCACGTCGACACAGCTACTCAAGGACTTCCCGACCCAAGCGCAGCTGATCTAGTTCCACTGGATCTTTGGCAGACTCAACAGGGCCCCACCGCGACCTCGACAGTTGCCACGAGCCCTTCGGCCGCTGCACCCCAGGCCTGGGCCGCCGCGCTCCGACCCGCGAAGGTGAGACCCCGAACGCCCCCGCGCGACCCCGCCCCACAAGGGAAGGGGCCCTGCCCAGTGGGCTGTCGCGGAGAATCGCTGGAGGAGGAGCCCCGCCGCCGCAGTGCCCCTACATTACAGATCGCCAGTACATCTCAGAGGACGATGACTTGGAGTTTCCCGCCGCACGTGCTACACCTGGGAAGGCCGTCGCAGGCTGAAGCAGTCAAGAAGGCCTGCGGGGTTTGGGCCAACTGCTACGAGCGCGCCCTCCTCGTCCACCATGGCATCTCTGATCAAGAACGCCAACTTTACGCCTGCAGGGACGACCCTGCTTCCTTTGCGCGGCGACGAGCAACGCCCACGCCTGGCCGCACCGACATCAAGAACGAGGCTGCTGAGTGGTGGGCCATCGCG